TGAAGACCATCAGCAAAGTTGGACATTTCGTTGCATTAGACTCCAAATTATTTATGGACACATTTAAAAGCAAACGTCCAAATATGGAACATTGGAAATTTCCATTTCCTACCATTATAAAAACTGCACATGTCATCTTCTTCCTCTAATTGCTTTGCTCTTCCCACTAACCTTTGTTAAAGTGGATCACTTTTATCCATGGGTTTGCTTGTTTTCCCTTTCAAATTTAGTAACCTTAAAAATAAAAGGAGGTTTACACTCTGCAACACTTCTTTTTCTATGTCATTCATGTTTAATTTGCCTAATTTTGTAACCTTTGCCTAATTTTCTTGACTCAAAAAGATAATTTTCTTGACTCAAAAGGATAATAGGTTAAGTATCCTTTATTATCCTGTACACAGTTCCTCAATTTCCGTATAAAAACTGGTATACAATTGCCTCCTACGATCTAGTTTTTTTGGGTCATATGGATACAAGTTCAATATTTCTGTCAAAAGTGCAGCAATTCCACATCTAACTACTAAGCATGTCCAGGTAGATATCAACTGGATTGCAAGATTTGCTAATTTTTAAGATGCCTATAAGAGAAATTCATTATATCACAATTATTTACACTGGTTCTCCAGATGCTTTTCCTGAGCAATAGCAATTTCCTCCCAGAAGATTCCTTGAAATTATATACATACGATTTTATCTATTTTAGAGCAAACTTTATCACTTGACTCTGAGGTCCTAGAATTAACTCATAACTTAAACGTGGCTAAAATTGGAAACGGAGTGTGTAAACAATGTTATTTCTCCCACTATTTATGTACAAGAACCATCCTTGTGTAAGGTCCCTTAAATTTAAATGCAAAATTCTTTCAATTGTTTTCTGTTTCCCACCAACCCCTATCTAGTCATACTGTATATGAGAATTCTCAATAGAGAGATGCAATCTATACTGTTAAACAAACTGCTATCTTCAATTTCCTGTTAGTACAGTATGTACATATATTGCTGTTTGTTTTGGCCTAAAGACAACTCAATATAGGAAGCTTCCGAGAGGTAAATGACCCAATTGGGAATAAAAGGCAGGCAAATTAAACTAAAAAAGGAAAAAGGATGTAAGCAAATACGTGAAATTCCAAGAAGACATAAAAGGAAAGGAATCAACTAAGAACATTGATAAGCTGGTAATCAGTACAGTTCCTACCTTCTGTAGGCAGATAATTGAAAGTGGACTCATGCTTGAATCATACTGCAATAAAGATTCTAGAATTAGACAGTGTGATTCACAGAGGTCTTGGGAAGAACAGGCCAGTTGGGATGGGATAGAAGGAAGGATAGGCATAGCCTCAAGGTTTTCCTGGAGAATATTATTGTTCATGTGCAGTGTCTTTCTGAGAGTTGGAGTCTGATTTCTGCTATTCTTCGGGAAGTCATGTTTGTAAGTATGAAAGAAAGGAGATGGATTGAGTGGAAACATATTATGCAGATAGATCAGGGGTCGGCAACTGTAAACACTCAAAAAGCCATTTGGACCCGTTTCCCACAGAAAAGAAAACACCTGGAGCCACAAAGGTCCCAACTGGAAGTCTGGAGCTGACCGGAAGTTCAGTTCCCTTACCATAGAGTCTCCTCCTAGCACAGCATCCTTTTTCTTTTGCTGACCAGAAGTCAGTTCCCCCACCATAGAGTCTCCTCCTCGCATGACATCCTTTTTCCTCTACCTGTCCTAACTGAAAGCCTTATCCATTATGGAGCCGAACAGAAAACCCGCCCCTTGCCATAGAGTCTTCCCCTGGCATGCCGTGCTTCCCCCACAAACAGAAGGTCCTCTCAAAATTGTGGTGCCGAGTGGCAACAGGGAGCCACATCAGAGGGATTGAAGAGCCACATGCAGCTCCAGAGCCATGGGTTGCTGACCCCTGAGATAGATAAAGCCTAGATTATCCGCCCAGGGAGAGAGAGTCAGAGCAGGTGTTCTGTGCAGATGTGCCAGGGAATTTAGCACATTAACCAATCAATTGTGACTAAGCTGCTCTTTCTTGCCCTTTCCAGTACATTAATAGAACTTAAAAGTTCCCTCTTACACATGTTATGAATGCAAAAACCAGTTGGAAAGAAACCAACGGAAGGCAGCAAATCCTAAAGATTCAAGAATCCAAAGAAAAGGTTGCAAAAATAGCATCACTCTTTCAATCCAGATGTTTCACTGTTTTTTTTAAAAAAAGGGGGGGGTAGGAATAATTAACTTCAAACTGAGCATTAAGCCTGCAATGAATTACTATCAAGTAATTGATTGCCAAATTGAATTAATCATGCAATTAATTCTCCATTTCCAGGCCACAAAATAAAGTTTCAACGCAAAAGCAAACATCAAAACCTGGGGGGAAAAAAACAAAAATCAGCACATCATTCTTTTTTTAAAAAAATGATAGGGTGATACGGCAGATTTTTTTTTCTTTATGGACTAAACAAAAATGGTGAAAAACCTATTAGGTATATTTATTGTCGGAGCTTAACATCCGAGTTGAAGGCTGTACATTGTTTCAATATGTTTTATTTCCAACTAAGCTCTAAATACTTAACAATAACCCAAGTGGTACAAATTGTTCTTTGAAGATTACTTCTTTTTTTTTTTTTTTTTACAGGT